ATAAGATAGCTACGCGATAAATAGCAAAGAACAATGAAGAACGAAGCGTGGTTTATTTCACGATTAAACATTGTTCTATCATGACGTCATTTCCGGAGATTCGAACATGCTCACAACTTGATGACGTCGTATTTATGACGACGTTATTTTTTAGGAGGGGGTGTTTAGTTAGTTGTTCCCCATAGATGTAGCCGGCCAACGCAGATAAACACGATGGCCGAACGATCACATCCCTAAGAGGTGATCCCCGTCATCAGCAGCCGTAGAATGTTGGTTGGTTGGTTGGTTGGTTGGTTTGTTGTTTAACGCCGCACTCAGCAATATAACAGCTATATGACGGCGGTCTGTAAATAATCGAGTCTGGACCAGACAATCCAGTGATTGATATCATGAGCATCGATCCACGCAATTTGAATCGATGACATGTGTCTACCAAGTCAGAGAGCCTGACCACCCGATCCCGTTAGTCGCCTTTTACGACAAGCATAGTCGCCTTTTACGGCAAGCGTGGGTTGCTGAAGACCTATTCTACCCCGGAATCTTCACGGGGCAGCCGTAGTATGTCTCAAACACACACCCAAAGTTCACAGAACGTTGATATCAATCCATTTCAGCTTCAGTCGGGTCTGGATTTCTTTCCAACGCTAACTTTACTTGATGCAACTTTTATTTCAAGTGAATGACATCACGACGTCACGACTCTCCGCGTTCATATAGTTCGCTTTAAATAATTAAAGTTTGATGTTTGATGGATTGTTTTGTTATGATTTATGTATCTGTCAAAATAAGGATTGAAGTTGTATTTGTTGATGTTCATCAGCTGATGAAGACAGTGCCTCACGTGAGCAAATTTACCATGAACTCACTCATGAAGTGAGATGTGTTTAACGCCGTTCTTAACAGTATTTCAATCATATCACGGGGTGTCAGTCTTCATCAGTTGATGAACGTCAACAAATACAACTTCAATCCTTAAATAAATCCGGGTAAATATTGTAAAGCTTGTACAATTTAATGTCATCCTCAAAGAGGCTGTACATAATGATGATTTCTCATAAATAAATAAATGCACCCCTCATGGTGTATTTTCCCTGCAGTGTTTTATTGTTCGATACACAAGAGAAATACGTATTTGTTGCAGTTACATTTACATATCATCGGAGACTATCAAAGGTTTTATATATTGTGTGGCCTATATCTTCGTATGATATGATGTTGAACAATTTTTTTTAAATTTGAAGTTTACACGATATTCGGCTTTCCAAGGGAGAGAGGCCGGTCACATGACCGCGTAACTGTTCAGAGGTGTATGAACGTCACATATCACAAATTGACGTTCATACGTTTTTCACGAGACTGTTCTTGAAATGACGTAAACACTGACGGACAGCTTTCACATTCCTGGGGAACCCCTGGGATTTCCCTGGCACGAATAAATACAGAAGTGTTTCTGATCATTGCCTTTAACCTTGAACTCAGCACACATTGATAAACCGAGAGTTTGATCGTTCACGAATATCCTCGCTACGACCCATCCCAGTAAACGAAACGTAGAAAGGCACATCACCTATCGTAGTATCAAGTCACAAGTTCCAACGTTTCAACAGAGTGGCCCTCACTCTATGAAGGTTCATGCTCCAATAGGGGCGGTCGGGTAGCCTGGTGGTTAAAGCGTTCGCTTGTCAAGCCGAAGACCCGGGTTCGATTCCCGACATGGGTACAATGTGTGAAGCCCATTTCTGGTGTCCCCCGCCGTGATATTGCCGGAATATTGCTAAAAGCGGCGTAAATCCATACTCACCCACTCACTCATGCTCCAATAATCTCACACAAAGTAAAGTCAATTCTTAACTAATAAATATTCATAGTGCAATTCAATGCGAGAAAAATATGTAAAAGATACGCAAAATCTACATCCTGATTGAAAACTTCAGCAGTAGAATACAGTAAACTACGGATATAACGAACTCAAAGGGACCACTAATTTTAGTTCGTTATAACCGTAGTTCGTTATAAGCATATATACAGCACAACTACAACAAATAGTCGGGACAAAAAAGCAAGTTCGCTATATCCGTCAGTTCGTTAAAAGCGTGTTCGTTATAAACGTAGTTTACTGTAGATGATCGTGAGTTCTTTTATGCACCCGACCTTCATCTCAAAGAAATGATAAAAAAATATGTTATTTTTGTTTTTTAATAAACAAAATATCCGATTCTTAGATTTCAAAATATATACGAAATAACGCCATGAGTAGTTATTTAGTAATATGTCAAATATCGCGATTTTGACGATGCATCTATTTTTCAGACGTTGTTTTCAATAATTTAGCCTTCTCAGTGACAGCGGATGATATCAATGAACAGAGTGTTACCCGCAGAATTCACAACTGTGGAGTGTATTTTTGTGTGTGATGAATTTTGAGTATTCAATTTCAAAGTGAGATTTGAATAGGAGAGACATAATGCATCTATTTTTAATCCCGGGATGCGACAGGGGTGTATATGATACAGAATTGATTGTTACTTGGTCACAAGCTCCGACACGTATTTTAGATAGAATATTTAACCCGTGAAGATCCGGGTAGAATGGTCTTCAGCAAGCAATGCTTGTGGTAAGAGGCGACTAACGGGATCGGGTGGTCAGGCTCGCTTGACTTGGTTGATTGCATGCCATCGTATCCCAATTGCAAAACATACCTTCTAATAAACGTTGTTCAATCAGTTCTGTGCTCTAATGGTTAGGACCGCCTCCGTGGTTTTAGTGGTAGAGCGTCCGCCCGGAGAGCGGAAGGTCCGGGGTTCGATCCCCGGCCGCGTCATACCAAAAGACGTTAAAAGATGGTACTTGTTGTTACCCTGTCTGGCGCTCGGCATTAAGGGGCTAAAACAAGGACTGGTCGGCTCGGAGTCAGTATACTGTGTCTGAGTTGGGTATTCATGTTAAACTGCGTCATGGTATCTCAGTGAGATAGCACTATAAATCGGCATCAGTCCGGACTAGTACAAGCAGACACACGCACGCACACACACACACACACACACACACACACACACACACACACACACACACACACACACACACACACACACACACACACACACACACACACACACACACACACACACACACACACACACACACACACACACACACACACACACGCGCGCGCGTGCATGCACGTCGCTATATAAGTGCAATAATCTTGGACGCGACGTTAAAGCCCATTTCGGGCGGTCGGGTAGCCTAGTGGTTAAAGCGTTCGCTCGTCACGTCGAAGACCCGGGTTCGATTTCCGATATGGGTACAATGTGTGAAGCCTATTTCTGGTGACCCCCGCCGTGATATTGCTGGAATATTGCTCAAAAGCGGCGTAAAACCAAACTTACTCACTCACTAAACCCAATTTCACCTCACCTCTAATGGTTAGATTGCCTGTCTACTGACCAGGAGGTTGTGGGTTCGATTCCCCTCATCCATGAAAAGGTTTCAATTCTTGTATTCGATTTAAGAAAATTCGACGTTTGCAACATTCATAAGGTACCGATGTTACTAAGAAAACGTAAAACCTCATACCCTGGATATATCTTACTCATCTTTTGGAGTGCCATGCTTTTAATGTGAAGGAAACAAACACAAGGCAAGACAAAATTATTTATGTTTTAATTGTTAAAAGAGTAAGTGAGGTGTGTTTAACGCCGTTCTTAACAGTTTTCAAGGTCCCGTTAAGAAAAGGATGTCGTCACTAAAACTTTATAGATAACAATACAGAAAATTTATAAACTTTTAATAGAACTCTTATAAATATACCGTGCAACAATCTTTTTATTGACAGCTTTGGGTAAAATGTGAGCGAATAAAATATTTGAAATGTATCATTTTTCTGAGTTTTAGATTTGGCATATATGTGTCTTGTCAGCATATGAAGGGTTAAGCAACCCGCAGAAAATATGCAAAATAACTCTGAAACAAACAGGTAAATATCAGCAATATTTCCTGTATTCAGAAAGTGCTGACAGTGTTTATGTGTTCAGTATCTGATTCCGTAACGTAGATTACAACATCTGCCACTTAATGGTATTTTTTAACCATATCAGGCTCGTTCATTAATGTTAATAGTTGTGTAACGTTCCATTTATAACCGCTGAAGACACTGCGCGTCAAGAACTCCCGCAGGTGTGTAACAACAAGCGTTAATGTATTAAGTGCTAAGAATTTCAAGCTACGATTGATCGTTTGCACCTGGACTGATTGCTAGTTACGTTACAATAGAGTAAGATACACAGACATGGCTGAGGTGTCGACCTGACATTAATTTAGCTAAATGACTCAAGGGCGACATGGTGATGACAATGTCGTACATCCCCTAAAGATGGTGATGGCACTATCGGTCTATACCGTACATCCCCTAAACATGGTGATGCCACTATCGATCTATATGGTACATCCCGTATAGATAGGGATGCCAGTATCGATCTGTGTCGTACATCCTTTTACAGCTGGGGATGCCAGTATCGATCTGTGTCGTACATCCTTTTACAGCTGGGGATGCCAGTATCGATCCGTGTCGTACATCCTTTTACAGCTGGGGATGCCAGTATCGATCTGTGTCATACATCCTTTTACAGCTCGGGATGCCAGTGTCGATCTGTGTCGTACATCCACTAAACATGGTGATGACACTATCGATCGATGTCGTACATCCCCTAAACATAGTGATGACACTATCGATCTATGTCGTTCATCCCCTAAACATGGTGATGACATTATCGATCTATGTCGTACATCCCCTAAACATGGTGATGACATTATCGATCTATGTCGTACATCCCCTAAACACGGTGATGACACTATCGATCTATATCGTACATCCCCTACAGATGGGGATGACACTATCGATCTATGTCGTACATCCCCTAAACATGGTGACGACACTATCAATTTATGTCGTACATCCCTTACAGCTGGGGAAGCCAGTATCGATCTGTGTCATACATCCCCTACAGCTGGGGATGCCAGTATCGATCTGTGTCGTACATCCTTTTACAGCTGGGAAAGCCAGTATCAATCTGTGTCATACATCCCCTACAGCTGGGGATGCCGGTATCGATCTGTGTCGTACATCCCTTACAGCTGGGGAAGCCAGTATCGATCTGTGTCATACATCCCCTACAGCTGGGGATGCCAGTATCGATCTTTGTCGTACATCCCCTACAGCTGGGGATGCCAGTATCGATCTTTGTCGTACATCCCCTGCAGCTGGGGATGCAAGTATCGATGTGTGTCGTACATCCCTTACAGCTTGGGAAGCCAGTATCGATCTGTGTCATACATCCCCTACAGCTGGGGATGCCGGTATAGATCTTTGTCTTACATCCCCTACAGATTGGGCTGCCAGTATCGATCTGTGTCGTACATCCCCTACAGCGCGGGATGCCATTATCAATCTGTGTCATACATCCCCTACAGCTGGGGATGCCGGTATCGATCTGTGTCGTACATCCCTTACAGCTGGGGAAGCCAGTATCGATCTGTGTCATACATCCCCTACAGCTGGGGATGCCGGTATCGATCTTTGTCGTACATCCACTACAGATGGGGCTGCCAGTATCGATCTTTGTCGTACATCCCCTACAGCTGGGGATGCCAGTGTCGATCTGTGTCATACATCCCCTACAGCTGGGGATGCCAGTGTCGATCTGTGTCATACATCCCCTGCAGCTGGGGATGCCAGTATCGATGTGTGTCATACATCCCCTACAGCTGGGGATGCCAGAATCGATCTGTTACGTACATCCCCTACAGCTGGGGATGCCAGTGTCGATCTGTGTCATACATTCCCTACAGCTGGGGATGCCAGTGTCGATCTGTGTCATACATCCCCTGCAGCTGGGGATGCCAGTATCGATGTGTGTCATACATCCCCTACAGCTGGGGATGCCAGAATCGATCTGTTACGTACATCCCCTACAGCTGGGGATGCCAGTGTCGATCTGTGTCATACATCCCCTGCAGCTGGGGATGCCAGTATCGATGTGTGTCATACATCCCCTACAGCTGGGGATGCCAGAATCGATCTGTTACGTACATCTCCTACAGCTGGGGATGCCAGTATCGATCTGTGTCATACATCCCCTACAGCTGGGGATGCTAGTATCGATCTGTGTCATACATCCCCTACAGCATGGGATGCCAGTATCGATCTGTGTCGCACATCCCCTACATCTGGGGATGCCATTATCGATCTGTGTCGTACATCCACTACAGCTGGGGAAGCCAGTATCGATCTGTGTCGTACATCCCCTACAGCTGGGGATGCCAGTGTCGATCTGTGTCGTACATCCCCTACAGCTGGGGATGCCATTATCGATCTGTGTCATACATCCTCTACAGCATGGGATGCCAGTATCGATCTGTGTCGCACATTCCCTACATCTTGGGATGCCATTATCGATCTGTGTCGTACATCCACTACAGCTGGGGAAGCCAGTATCGATCTGTGTCGTACATCCCCTACAGCTGGGGATGCCAGTGTCGATCTGTGTCGTACATCCCCTACAGCTGGGGATGCCATTATCGATCTGTGTCATACATCCCCTACAGCTGGGGATGCCAGTATCGATCTGTGTCATACATCCCCTATAGCTGGGGATGCCAGTATCGATCTGTGTCGTACATCCCCTACAGCTGGGGATGCCAGTATAGATCTGTGTCATACATCCCCTACAGCTGGGGATGCTAGTATCGATCTGTGTCATACATCCCCTACAGCATGGGATGCCAGTATCGATCTATGTCGTACATCCCCTACAACTGGGGATGCCGGTATCGATCTGTGTCATACATCCCCTATAGCTGGGGATGCCAGTATCGATCTGTGTCATACATCCCCTACAGCTGGGGATGCCAGTATCGATCTGTGTCGTACATCCCCTACAGCTGGGGATGCCAGTATCGATCTGTGTCATACATCCCCTACAGCTGGGGATACCAGTACCGATCTGTGTCATACATCCCCTACAGTTTGGGATGCCAGGATCGATCTGTGTCGTACATCCCCTACATCTGGGGATGCCAGTATCGATCTGTGTCGTACATCCCCTACAGCTGGGGATACCAGTACCGATCTGTGTCATACATCCCCTACAGTTTGGGATGCCAGTATCGATCTATGTCATACATCCCCTACAGCTGGGGATGCCAGTATCGATCTGTGTCGTACATCCTCTACAGCTGGGGATGCCAGTATCGATCTGTGTCGTACATCCCCTACAGCTGGGGATACCAGGAAGGCCACGTGTATGTTCCATGCGTGGAGATTCTTTTGTCTGCGATTATTAAAGATGTCCTGTCCACGCCACATTTTACTGAAACTCCCCTTAATAATCTCGAAATGACCACAGAAAGGGGCAAACGTTAATCCTTAATCGTTAAGTTCCAGCCGTCCGTCTAACGCATCAATAGATCAACAGGGGGCACGGGTGGCCCAGTCGTCTAAGGCGCCGCGATTCGCTGTGCAGAGTTGCGTCCCTTGGGCACGCCAGAAACCTATGATTGTGGGTTCGAATCCCGGTTTACCCCGATTATGTTTCTAGGTTTTTCAGCACCATACCCGTGCTCGTGGGTTTCAACAAAGTGGTAAACGTCTGAGACCTGCATCACTTCGGGTTTTCCTCCCACATTAAGCTGACACGCCGTGATATAACTGGAATACTGTTAAAAGCGGCGTGAAACCCAACTCACTCACTCACTCACTCAATAGATCAACGGGGTATGGGCTGCGCAGGATCGTTATACTCTTGTCACCTGTTCACAGGACAGGGTTGATATTTAACACACCATCGTTAGGATCACGATGGAAATGGTTGAATAAAACATGAGAAGTGAAATATCCCTGTTTTATAGGTTTAATTACTGACTTCATTGTGATGTTGTGTAATTCAAAAAGATAATACATCATGTCTTTGCTAAAAAAATATGTAAACTGACACCCTAAAGAAAATTTATCGAGCTTGTTTTTAATGTTATTGATAACAGAACGATTTTTTTTTCTATTTAACCATCACTCATTCCTGCAACAGTTCGTTAAACGTGTTCTGTGACTAGGTTATTTTGTGTAAGACCGCCTCCGTGGTCTAATGGTAGAGCGTCCGCCCGGAGAGCGGAAGGTCCGGGGTTCGATCCCCAGCCACTTCATACAAAAGACGTTAAAAGATGGTACTTGTTGTTACCCTGTCTGGCGCTCGGCATTAAGGGGCTAAAACAAGGACTGGTCGGATCGGAGTCAGTATACTGTGTCTGAGTGGGGTATTCATGTTAAACTGCGGCATGGTATCTCAGTGAGCTAGCACTATAAATCGGCATCAGTCCGGACAAGTACAAGCAGCCACACATGCACACACACGTACATGCACGTCGCTATATAAGTGCAATAATCTTGGACGCGACGTTAAACCCCATTTCACCTCACCTATTTTGTGTAAAAATAAATTTGTTCAATGAAGACTGGGGTAAGAAATGAATGCAACCGCTTGACCCCTACCATGTTTGAAATGTTGTAAACCTGTGCCGAATGTTTCAAATTGATTTTCAAAGAAAAAATGTCTACGATACCCATCAGCAGTCGTGCATTTTGCGAATTCCTTTTTTAAGCTTTTAAAGTTTTAAATCAAATTATATAAAAGCATGTAGAAGTATTCTGACTAAGAGCCAGTACAGTAAGTGTTTGGATATAATATCGCTAACTAAAGATATTATTTTCAATTGATAATCAAACATAAGATACAATCAACTCAGAGGTTTAGTTTAATTTTATACTTGCGCTTGCAAAGCAACAGACCTATGAAGATCCGGGCTAGAATAGGTCTTCAGCAACCCATGCTTGCCGTAAAAGGCGACTATGCTTGTCGTAAGAGGCTACTAACGGGATCATGTGGTCAGACTCGCTGACTTGGTTGATGCATGTCATTGTATCCCAATTGCGTAGATCGATGTTCATGATGTCAATCACTAGATTGTCTGGTCCATACTCGATTATTTACAGACCGCCGTCATATAGCTGGAATATTGCTGAGTGCGGCGCTACACAACAAACAAACAAACAAACAAACAAACAATCAAGCATACAAAACAACATGAAAGTTAAAATACAAACCCAATGTATATCCAGCAATGCATTTTACAGATGTTCTTATCGTTTTACTCCAGTCAAACTGTAGTCTGGGGTGAACAGCCTTAAACATAATAGGTTGTTTATATGCTAACACGATGCAAAGTGTTTTGTTTCCATTTAAACATTTATGACATGTTGTGCCTCAAATCGGTGAGGCAACTCGAACGTCTCTTTATCGCCCATGCAGGGACGTTTAGTGTTCTCCCGTGCCAATAGAGGGAAAAGGTTGACGCGGTACAAGACACTTAAAAGTAACCAGACAGTTCAGACGTGTGTCAATATTTTAACGGAACTACAAGAACTACACAAGTACCTTGATACGGTGGCCCATAAGGGACATGGAGTCTGTTTTTCCATATTTTGATATTTCATTTACTTTTATCGTAACCTTTTGCAAATCAACACAATTGTCTTAAAAATATGTGATAAATCATGTGTAAAGAAGATATTGAATCGCTGAAAAGTGAAACGAAAATGTCAAAAACTAAAATGAAAATGTCAAAAACTCAAATGAAAATACAGAAAACTATTTCCACCGCGGTGAAGACTATTTACACCGCGGTGGAAATAGTTTTCCGTGGTTTCATTTTAGTTTTTGACATTTTCGCTTTTGTTTTTGTCATATTCATTTTAGCTTTTGACCTTTTCGTTTTGGTTTTTGACATTTTCATTTTAGTTTTTGACATTTTCGTTTCACTTTTCAGCGATTCAATATCTTCTTTACCCTTGGGCACACCAAAAACCTATAATTGTGGGTTCGAATCCCGGTTCGACCCGATTATGTTTCTAGGTTTGTCAGCACCATACCCGTGCTCGTGGGTTTCACCGAAGTGGTAAACGTCAAAGACCTGCATCACTTCGGGCTTTCCTCCCACATTAAGCTGACACGCCGTGATATAACTGGAATACTGTTAAAAGCGGCGTTAAACCCAACTCACTCACTCACTCAAACATGGGAACAAGGACATCTCCTATAGTCCCCGCGTGTATGGGTTTAGAATTTAATGTCGGTGTTCACTTCCCTAGTTTACCGTATTTCCTGTGCAAAGTGCGCGCTTTCCCCTTAAAACAGCTGTACAGAGGGGTCAGCATAATACACGCCTGCATTGAGCTTTTTTGTTTATCCCAGCACCAAAACACTACTACAAGCACGTATTATCGGAAATACCATGTCAACAAAATTAATACTTACTGAAGGTCGCAAGTTAATCCGGTTATTGCACTATCTGGTTATGGAAAGTGATTAGTGCACTATTGACTATTGATTATTTGACTCTATCAACATATAGTTTCGTCAAACTGGTCACACGTAAAGAATATCCGGGAATATAAACGCAAATACATATTGAAGTCAATTCTTATAAATAAATACGTCAAAAATAATAAATTCAGGCTGCTTATTTCATGTTGTGTTTTGGACCGTAGGTTTGCAGTGTTTTGGGCGATTGTTTTCAGCCCAGTAACTTTTTGACACTTTGTATTTTGGGGGGGTCAAATCTAAATTTCTAAGTGTTGGCTTTCGTGCCCGACAATGTG